GATTACCCGAACTCTATCCTTAGCCCTTGGATCCCCTTTACGATCAATCACCCCTTTACGATCATAAGGGTTAGGTACTCGTTTAGTGGCTGTTATAGATTCTATAGAGGCTCCTAATTTTCTTCACACAAATTTGTCGCCTAAAAAGGATGACATGGTTTTGTGTCGAATATTTTGGCTACTGGCAACTGTCCTGGAACATTCACACAGTACGGATTCAAAAGCGAACTTACTCACCATGCCCATGCCTCCCTCGTTCCTTTCTATTATCCACACCATCCTTACAGTGTTCCCTACCACACTTTTTTGTCACAAAAATGTCATTCATGCATACTCTCGAGTTCGACGTCTGGAAGTGTTTTCAGTCCGCGCCATATCGGCTCATTCCTCACCACTTGGTCTCTTGTAGGTTACGGAATGGGACGAGTGTGCCAAATGGCATCGGGACCATTCGTTAGTGTCCGTAGACTGAACATCATATGAGCATCTATTATAATTGCCATACGATGACATGCACGAACCAAGTCAGCGAGCCTGACCACCCGATCCTGTCAGTCGCTTCTTACGACAAGAACGTACAGTCGCCGACAAGCATGGGTTGCGGAAGCCAGATCTCCACGGGTCTCCCCTGAATTATGAAGAAATAATTGTGTGTGAATATTTTAGAGTTGTTAGTCGTCACAGCTGGGACCATTGATACAAAGTGTCAGCTACATAGGCCAAATAGTTTCAGAGAACCCGTGAAGATCCGGTGTAGAATAGGCCTTCAGCAACCCACGCAACCCTTCAGCAACCCGACTATGCTTGTCGTAAGAGGCGACTAACGGGATCGGGTGGTCAGGCTCGCTGACTTGGTTGATGCATTTCATCGTATCCTAATTGTGTGGATCGATGCTCATGATGTCAATCACTGGATTGTCTGGTCCAGACTCGATTATTTACAGGCCGCCGTCATATAGCTGGAATATTGCTGAGTGCGGCGTTAAACAACGAACAAACAAACAAAGTTTCATATATTAATGGGGTTAATGTGAAAGGTCGTAGCTTGATTAAATATGCAAAACCACCGTATAATGTGTCCAACCACACACTACCTTAACACATACTCATAATGATACATGTGTCATGGTCAGTATGACATAATTATTTATCATCCAAAACTGGCTTCCACAGGAGATATCGCTTGGATAAGATCAAGCGATATCTACACTGTAGATATCGCTGCAGTGAAATTACATCACAATGCTTTGCAGACCATTGTGACGTCACCGGTTACCATGACGTCACAATCAAATGACATCACTAATGGCTCTGCTACTGAAGCTGTTAGCAGTACTTTTTACACTGAAAACACTGCTAATTACTGTCTACAAATTGAAAAAATTGGAAGAATGATGTTGGATGATAAATAAAATCTCACCCTCGTGTCTTTTGATATCAAATATATCAACACTCGTTGATAAAAGTGGCAAAAATCCTCGGGAAGCCTCGGAATTTTTACACTTTTATCAACTCGTGTTGATATATTTGATATCAAAAGACACTCGGGTGAGATTCTCTATATGGCCGCCATGCTTGAACTCGGATCAAAATTCTTTGAGCATGATTTAGAGTGAGTGAGTATGGTTTTACACCGCTTTAAGCAATATTCCAGCAATATCACGGCGGGGGACACTTGAAACCTATGTCGGGAATCGAACCCGGGTCTTCGGCGTGACGAGCGAACGCTTTATAACCACTAGCTACCCGACCGCCCAAGCAGGATTTCGAGACACCATAGCTCAGACAATATGTACAGCGTTTCAACTCCATAAGCATTGCAGTTCCAGAGGAGATTGAACAGTGTACAACGGCCGGACAACGCACCACGACATAAGCTCACTTGACTTTCAATCAGGTGAGCTAAAAAAGACCGTTTTGCTGCCATTCCCAAATTATTGCCAACACGATGTCATAAACCATGTATAGGTTCTCATCTTTGTTGTCGAATAAGTCAGGACGCCTATATGTAAAACTCCCCGATTTACCACAAATACCACGAGTGTATAGCCTCGTTAAGGCTTCCTCTCGACACGCCGAAGACCAAGGTTCGATTCCCAACATGGGTACACTGTGTGAAGCCAAGTCCGGCGTTCCCCGCCTTGATATTGCTGGAATATTGCTAAAAGTGGCGTAAAACAATACTCACCCCATGTCATATGATAGTGATTGCGTGGGCGGTTGTATCTAGCGTCATTTGAACCGGAGGTAAAACAAAGCTACCTGGTAGCGAATGGGTCCTGCTAAGTATGGAGACACACTACACCTGGGATCAAGGAAGCAAATAACCTACAAGGAAAGTTTGTAATCATTTGTTCTCCAACAGGAAATTAAATCACTTATTAATAACTAGCACCATTTGCACACAAGACACCGTATCACTAATGCTGTCATCGATTTTTTCACTTGTAACACGTACAATGAAATGTTCACATATTGCGGGTGGGTTGGGGTAGCCTAGTGGTTACAATTGGTTGTCACTCCGAAGACTCTGATGGATCAAATATTTGATGCTTCTAAGTTCTAACCCCTATGTCTATCCCCCTCCTGTCCGCACCCGGTCAAGACTGCTGTACCCATGGTTACATGAAAGCAATCCTCTAGCTATAACCAGTGTGGGTTCGGATCCAGGATGGGACTCAACCCCCAAAAGTACGAGAATCTGTACTTTACAAACAAGTGTTATCCCAAATATAACATTTGCTACATTTGACCACTTTCTAAATGGCATTGTGTGTTCAAATCTGTAGCTGACACCGTGGGTTGATTGGTTGAAAAGGGCACCGACTGTGCTCAGAATGTGGAGTTGTATAAATTACGCGTGACCTAAAACAATCATTGCAAGGTTACCCTGATAAGAAAGTCCTGACAATGTTTAGTCAATGAAATCAGCAAAAAGACAAAAATGTATTATGTAATTATACATGTTTGTTTAAGAGAAACACTGAAGCAAGAGCAAGCATTGTGGTTGGGAGAGTTTAACACTGACAGGAAAACTCACCAACGTGCACATCGGTGTCGCCGGACAAACAAACGCGGCGATCGTGATTACAGTAAATTGTAAGCGTTGTGTTCCCCCGGAAGCATAGAATTAAACAATGTGATCATGCGTTGTTTCGTCAGCTGACTCACTCGAACTTTCACTCCTGTCACACTTGGGATTCTCGCCTTGACGCGCATGTATACATGGAGTTACCCTAGTGTTAGCCTTGCTTTCAGGCTGTAGTGAAAGAAAGGTCCATGGATGTGTACTAATTCTACCTTCCGAATAAGTAAGTCTAGATAAGGACTCCAGTCTCTTATAGTGACAACTTCTTCTTATTATTAACCGTAATCTAGAAATTGTATTTAAACTAATAATTATTGCCCTAAAGACTTTTGCAAGTGTACCCTAGTGTTAACCGTTCGCCCTGCATTGCACATATAATTTCGGAACATGCAGGCGTCAGTGTTATGTGAGATTGATTCACGACGGGGCACACTACGAGTACACATTGTACCCAGTTGGGGAATCGAAGCCGGGCTTTCTGCTAACGAGCGAACACTTTAACAACAAGGCTGCCTCTGTAGTGATCGAAGTTTAAAAGTCCACGTATAATATAAGTGCATCTGTATGTAATATATGAGTGTGTATCAACAAGTAAGGTACTATTCCCATTTTGCAAAAGTAACAAAGAAAACTACAAGAAGCCATTGACATCAGGAGACCCCAGGAAAGCATGATCCGTGACCAGTGGACCTATCTGCCTAGTGCTTGGGACTTACTGCTTTGATTTCTGTTGGTGCTATTTATTAGGGCTGGGACGGGTAACTCGGGTACCCGGGTCGGGTGTGTACTGAGTAGGACCCGGGTACCCACAGAACTACCCGGACCCGTGGTTAGTCAAGCGATTATATAATTGTTTAATGGCAAAAATTATCTAGAACTCTATGGTCACACTATAAGTGATAAATGTTCACATTTCTTTCTGACTTTGCACACATTCCTTCTGACTGTACATGTTTGCATAATGATAAAACATCAGTCAACTTCAGTGTACGCATGACCAGATCGGTTTATACGTGTATCTTAATTTATTTTGCCAGGGCTACGGTCAATCTATTCCCAATCGGACATGTATTACCATCTCTTGAGACCTACAGCGGGTACCCGGGTAGGGTCGGGTAATAGGGAGGTGGGTACCGGGGTAGTTAATTTGGACTCGTCCCAGCCCTACTATTTATGTAGCTGGCTTCCAGTTGCGCTTTGCTATTTCCATTCTTTAACCTATCAGAGCTAACTACCCCCGGCCTCCCGTTTGCCCATTGCCTATAACCTATCAATGATGACTGGCTTCCTTTGGTGGTGTGTGTGAAAAGAGAAGCAAGTGTTTGATACAAAGTAACTTGTCAATTCGGGATATGTGTCACCCGGGCTATCTAAAACAAGGTTATTCTTTATTATACAAGTTCCAGTGAAAAATGTAAGGCAAGATGTTTAATTTAAGCTTTTAGGCTGTCTTCAATATCGCAGAAGCCAAAACATGATAAAAAATACTACTGTGTCTGGAGAAACAAAATGTGTTTCCAAGTAAAGGAAGCTTGTTATTTCGACATTTTTTAAAAGAAAAACGTACTACTTTATGGATAATTGGTTATGGTTTATTGCATATAGCGACGTTTTTCTTACTCATTCACCCACTTATAGAATGGCAGTCAAACAGAATTTCTTTTAATACAAAAAATATCACATGTGTCCTAAGACAATTAATTCAAACGATTTATACGAAATATGTACTGAAACATGGATATATTTCATGGATTGTTCCGTATTTTTGTGCAGATATATCATTATGTGTTATCAATCTCCAACAAGGTTTGAAATGATCGATCAGTTTACCTAGTGGTTTGTGAAATTGTGATTGACGAGAGTTGCTTCCCTTCCATTGTGTATACTCAAGCTCCTTCCCAGCGCGTGACACCTTCGTTACACTCTCGGTAACATAGTATTGAGAGCTCCGGGAAGGGGCTAACGCTGTGAGGAGCTTGGCGTATACTTCCGCCACGTAAATGATGTTTTCGCGGACTTTAGGTTTCTCGAAATGTATTCGTCAGAGGGGATGAACGTTTTCTTTGCGTGTTTCTGAAATATGCCTGAGCCAGTATTGTAAATGGATATGCGTGACTCAACCATGCGGCGTTTCTTTTCAAAGCGAAAAGACTCTTCCATGTGTTGGTGGCCTTGCCGCCAGGAGCTTTGAAAACCAAACTTATTCCGCGAAGAAAACATCAAAACAAACCTAACTTCAAGTTGAAAAAGATACTCAGAGCTGCAAATTGTGTAAGTATTCACGGCGAATGTTATTTGTACGTTTTATTCTGCATTGTCATCTGACTTGTGTTTTTTTTTTGGTAACAACTGTGAACACTGCAGTCGTAAGCAAGTGAGGTCGGAGGCAGTTTAACGATGTGGTCTTCTGTAAAAGGTCTTCATTGAAGTTTGCAGAAATACTTCCAGATATAACTTATCACCTGACATTACTATATACGTCGGTATGCAAATTCCTTATTCTAGATTGAAACATTATAGATTATTATTTTGAAGGAATCACTTAAATAAAGTATGGTGTTAAATAAAATGTTCATTTTGTATAATAGTCTATATATCATGATATATTATATCCTTGGATCATACGTTTTCGGACATCATACGTTTTCGGACAGACACACTTAACATGATTCTTGTGCTATAACGGGGGGTGGAGCATCACACAGAACTTGTAAATACTCAGATGATGGCTTGGTTTTAAGAGAAAGTTTTTTTATAAGCGAATAAAAATGTTCATGTCGTTAATGAGAAAACTACAACTGCAACTGTTTCTTAAGCATCTGAAAACCCATGACACGGGGATACACTAAATTTCTATGGTGAAGCACAGGAATATGTAACTATACACATGCACCCATGCAGAGAGAGATGATAAATTTGTGTGCACACAGCTACGTAGGGGAATATATGTTTTGGATCCATTATACAATGATACGTTCAATGACTCCACAATATGAATATGTATTTTTTTGTGATCCAACATAGGCAGAATGCTATTAAATAGATGTATAGCTACTGAAAATATTCTTCTGTCTGTTTCCAATGCTACATCGTTCATGGCTTTGGTTACTGTTATCTTTCAAAATGACTTCTCTTTGGAAATCCCCTGTTGCTAAAAATAGCACAAGTAGCATTCGGGCTGTGAAAGGTACAGTATAGATGTAATCGAGATAAGTTATATAGCGTGTTGTAAAGAACAAGTAACTCTTATCAGCAGTACACACGTCATACAACTTCACACCAGGAACTTTTGAGTCCCAAGTCGGGTAATGAGACACGGATACCAGCGTTAGAAATTGGCACTAGTCCTGTAGTCCTTACTAAACTGCCCAATAGTAAAGGTATCCTAGGGACTAGTAGAAATTGGCCCATTTTAAGGGTTTTGTTATATGTTATCATTATAAGGACTAGTGGACAAAAACTGTTAGTTTCTAACCCTGGGATACTCAAGTCCACATTTTGTCTCCCCGTTACCGCTGCCTGTCTTTGTTGACACGAATATGTCTTTTCCATCATCTTTGCCAGGGGACGATTGTCTCTGCTAGGATGCTAAGCTTTGGGTTGTTATAATTTGGGGGAAGGGGCTGACATTTTTATTGAAACAAGATATTTTTTATGTCACTCCTTCTAAATGCCTTATTTCAATCTGTGAATGGATGAATATACAATTTTCTTTTTTTAATAACACTTTTCTATGTGGACACGCAGCATGTCCCATGGACAAGTCTTGTGGGTAAGACCTCAAGTAATTCCTTTCCAGTTTAATTTAGGAACAATTTTAAACAAATCTCACGACTAACAGATTTTAACCTCTTGAACAAAAACATACTGTTACATTACCATGATGATAGGCCACGATGATAATGCGAGATTAGTGCTGACTGGCATTCTTTCGCCATTGCCTACTCATGCACCTCAATGGACACTGCAGAATAGGAACTTACTTTGCTAAATATTTCCAGCTGTCGTCTCCGCAGGTTGAACTCAGGAAAAGTGAAGGGAGGTTCAGGTTCCATGTTAATGTTGGCGGGATGAGCAGTGTCTGTGAAAGGAATAGGTTGATGAGCACAAGCACAAACTGATAAATAAATGGCAACATAGGTAGCGTATCATGTATTGAATTGTTTGGTGAAAATGTATGAACCGTGTCACTCCTAGTAATAATGTTTTTTTAACATATCGTCAGATCACAGGTTTTCGGACAGCCATGTGTCATCACACATACATTGTAAACACTGAGATTGTGGCCTGTTTTTAAGATAAAGTGAGTGAGAGGTTTTACAAGTTATTCTTGTGGTTAATGAGAAAATGATGAATGTTTCTCTGGCGTCTGAAAACCCACAACACGGGGATAATTAGTCTGAGATGTTGTCTGTACATAGAAAATGGTTGTATAAAGGATGTCATGATACAGAAATAATGCTAGCTAGCCAAATAAATAAACAAACCGACCCAAACATAGCTAAAACTACCACACTAGCATACATACACGAAAATTGGCCAAATTGGTGTCACATTTACACGGACGGATCCTCAGATCCGACCTCCAAACACACAGGTTTCGGAGTCCATACCACACAACCAACTAAAACCACACAATCCTTCCGACTCCCAAACAACCAATCAATATTCACGGCAGAACTAATGGGCATGGCCTCAGCCCTCCATAATCAAGAATCCAAAAAACACAAAAAAATCCTAATACTTACCGGCTCCCTAAGTGGACTGCAAGCCCTCCAAAACAAAAATACCAAAAACCGACCTAAATTAATAAATCAAATACTTAAAAGCTCCAACGACCTAACTAAGGCAGGCAAACAAATAACCTCCAAAAAATCAACAGAGTAATCACTAAACTCCAAACAGGACACACCAACCTAAATAACCACCTAAAATTTTTTAAAAAACACACTACAGGTAACTGCCCACACTGCAAACAACCAGAAACCCCAGAACACGCACTCATCCACTGCACACACTACCTAACACATCGAACTGCATTACAAACCACCCTCAATCTAAACAAGGCTCTAACTCTAGAAGCAATACTAAACCCACAAAATAAACTAGAAAACTTCAAGGCCTTAGGCGTATTCTTAATAAAAAAGGAACTAATAAAACGCATCTAAAAACACAATAACCTACCAAATCAAAATCACATAAACAAACAAACATCCACCATACCCAGCTCCCTTAGTTCTCCTCCCCAATCCCATCGGCATCTATTCCAAATCTCAAAATTCCCAAATTCTATATAAGCAACCCCTAAAACCCCCCTCTTGGGTTGCACAGACCACTTTCGTTCCTTTCGGAAACACATTAAATGGCCTGGTCGGGCCCGTGTGCGAAATACGCATCAGTCGGAAAGCGCACGTTAAATCTCCAAAGTAAGTAAGTAAGTAAGAAATAATGCTAGGAAGGGCCCTTGGGTTTTGGGCCCATTATTCTGAAAAAAGGCCCACGTTTTCAAAAGCAGTGGAGTCTTATAACAGAGTATTATATAGGCATGACATGAATTGTTCCAAATTTCACTTATCAGTGCTAAATGGGCCCACATCAGAAAATTCCCAACACGATCCTTGATGATATGTGTGAAATACTGCCAATTTGACTCTAAATTTTAACTCCCCACTCACTCATTATAAGGTATATATATAAATACACATATAAATACACATAAATACAGTTACATACAACAGGTTCTATCATGACTGTTCCATTTCGGAAGTTCAATAAATTATTAATTGCCAAATTATTATTTGAAAAATAGCTACTGTATTAGAATGAAAGTGTCCAGCATAGAAGAAACACAATTGGGGATTTAAAAAATGTGTTTGTGGTTTGATAAAGTCAAATGATGTATGTCATTACTTGACATGTTTCTGACATAGGTGGCCATGAAATAGGTACTAGTGTTAATTTTGTGGTGAACTGAAAGAAACATGTTTTGTCAATATTATAAGAAATATATACTAAAACATGTGATCTGATATCAAAATCAGCTCACCTGTTAGTCCTGAACCTCAAAACAGGTCAAGCTGTTCACCTTCCTTCAAGTTGATTAATTTGGAAAATGCCACCGAAAACTTCATTTTGTGGTAGATAGGCATTATTTGTATCCGTTTACTTTCAGAAGAATCCATTATTTTCCAGGGGTCCGTGGGCAGTGTAGAATTTTATCAACATGATCAAATCCAGAACTTAAAATTAATAATCAACACACACAAATAAAATATCTTCAGGATATGTTTTTTCTTGGGAGGGGGATAATTTTCTTAAATATATTTCTGACATTTTTAACCATTATTATGTTGTTTTTAGAAGGGAGAAAATGGACTCTTCCGAATACTAATTGAGTCGGCAATTATAACATGGATATCTGTGGGTGTATTTTTCATATTATCTAACAGGTGTTGCCCAAATATGGCCTGAATGCCACATGTGGTTGATATTGAAAATGTCATTAGAAGCGTACCATTCAGATGCAGCATATTACACTACTGATGGCCATTAATGGCCGAAACATATTCTGATGGACACAATCATTAATTTAATTGGTGACATGACTTCGGTACTGAAATTGAGTTGCTGGTGTTATTTGTCATGTTCAATGTGTAACCTGTTTGTAACCCCAGTTAGAAGTGTTTTTTATTTAACTGTTTGGGGAGTTTTTAAATATTTTATGATTATAGAGAAGTAACTGAAATCAGAGACCATGAGATCTGCTGAAATAAAGCATTTGGTCGGTGCCATGATGTTTACATGATATAGGGTCTGGTCCATAGTAGTGTAGTTTGCTTGTACTTAACACCAAAGCTATAGAAAACTCCAAAGTAACCATGGCAACTCAGTGCAGGTGTTGTGCACAGTGTGCAAAGGGTTATTATATAACGGAACCAGTCGTTCATTAATTATGCTGGGGTGGTCGGGTAGTCTAGTGGTTAAAGCATTCACTCCTCAAGCCGAAGACCCGGGTTCGATTCCCGACATGGGTACAATGTGTGAAGCCCAATTCTGGTGTCCCCCGCCCTGGTATTGCTATATTGCTAAAAGCGGCGTAAAACCATACTCACCCACGCACTCATTAATTATGCTAGAGACAAATGGCTTTGGGATATTTCCATGATTTTAACAGTTTTTGATAGAACATTCTTCTGTAGCATTAATGGTACCAATTTTCACCTAATCGTTTGGACATTTTGGATGACAATCTCTCAATGTCCTAGAAAATGACCCCATTTTAAAACTAGGCAATCAGTGCAAAAACCTTCGAGTCTGCTGGCCTGAACATTGCTCTTACCATCATTATCAAAAGAGTTTTGTGTTATTGTATGTACTGTGATCGCCTTTAGGTGAGTTTAGCAGACGCACAGAATTTTATTAGATACAGTCGTTGGACTATTGGCTAAAGTTGCAGGCTGACCATGTTTTGTGCATGCATAAATTAATATGACTCCATTTGTAATTGTATGCCTTGTTGGGCACATTGACAAAAATGAGTGGTATTGTGCGTGGTCTGTGATATGTCTGATGGCTTGTTATTGATGTGGATCAATGATTTCTGTCACTGGTTGCTGATTATTTACAAATTGTCGCGATATAGCTGGAATATTGCTGACTGCTGTGTGAAACAGTCCCATTCTCACTCAGGACAATAATGTCTAAAATAGGGATGGTTACTGGAGGTTAAAAAGTGTATCACAATATTTTGCCATGCACAAGGTCGTATTGCGATACGTATCATGATATATTGTTTGATTCTAAATTTTGAATTCAGAAGCCATATGAAACATGAATGTGTTAATTGAAATTCATAAATAGAACAAAACATGATGCTGGTAACCATGGTAATGTACCAACAAATGTATAAAATGGACACATTCATTTTACTAAATTATTGACAGATGTTATTGAGGTCCTATAATCATGATAATTAAAGTAGTGATCGAATCTTACAGTACAGTGCTTAATATTTCTGAGGCTATTCTTTACGTTTGTGGGGGCGGTTGTGTAGCCTAGTGGTTAAAGCGTTAGCTTGTCACGCTGAAGACCCGGGTTCGATTCCCGACATGGGTACAATGTGTGAAGCCCATTTCTGGTGTCCTCCGCTGTGATATTGCTGGAATATTGCTAAAAGCGGCGTAAAACCGAACTCACCACCACCTTTACATTTGTGCGTACTGGACGCACAGTTATGTGTCGCGTAAGACCTTGTGTATTTACGGCAAAATAATGCCCAATGTTATGATTTACATGGCAAAGGACCCGTGAAGATTCCGGGGTAGAATATGTCTTCAGCAACCCATGCTTGCCGTAAAAGGCGACTATGTTAGTCGTAAAAGGCGACTCACGGGATCGGGTGGTCAGGCTCGCTGACTTGGTTGATGCATGTCATCGATCCCAATTGCGTGGATATTAATCACTTGATTGTCTGGGTCAGACTCGATTATTTACAGACCGCCGTCATATAGCTGGAATATTGCTGAGTGCGGCGTTAAACAACAAACAAACCAAACCAAACCAAACATGGCAAAGGTGCCTATTCTATACTTTTCATCTCCGTTTGTCTTGTATCAGTTTCAGATTGTGATTCATTGATAATTAATAATCCTTTGGTATTTCATCTCTTCTGTTTTGTTACATAAATCGGCCTTCTCCTCCACAATCAAATGATGGACACATGAGATCAGCCATTACAACACCATGTAGAGGATCAACCACTGATTGTGTGGGGGATGAAACATGTCTGAGGCCTTTTTGAGATTTAAAACCCTCGGTTGGAATAAACCGAGGTGCATCCCAAGAATAAGAATTTGAAATCTCATAAGAACCCGAGGGGATTCGTGTTATCTTACTTATAAATAAACTGAAAGAAAATATTTATCAACGAGTTTATGTTTCAAACATACTTCCCATGAACATCAGGAAACGGCGTAAAATATCTCTTGCTGATGTAATTATACTTGAAAAAGAGATCTTAAAAGCATTGTGGTTTGTCAGCTCGTCTGTCGCCTAGAAGGTCACATTTGTTGTTTGGTTTTACATAGTTGGGCACATTTCCTGGACTATCATGTGCAGAGTTGCGTCCCTTGGGCCACCAGAAACCTATGATTGTGGGTTTGAATCACGGCACTCCCCAATTATGTCTCTAGGTTTGTCAGCACCATACCCTTGCTCGTGGGTTTCACTGAAGTGGTAAACGTCTGAGACCTGCATCACTTTGGGCTTTCCTCCCATATTAAGCTGATGCGCAGTGATATAACTGGAATACTGTTAAAACCCAACTCACTCACTCACTCACTATTTCAACACTGCTGTTCCAGGTTCAGTGCAGGGGTTGATTTAACTGCTGGCCCGCTGGCCAGTTCAAATTACAAAAGGCTTGCTGAAACATACAATAAATGGCCCGTCGCGCTTGTCAAAATTCCACCCCTTCTCTTTGTTTAATTGCTTTAATTAGACACTGCTTGTGAATCATGCAGTTTTGATGAAAAAATACTTAGGGGGATGAGGTCGTGTTAATGGTTAACTCAAAGATCATATCAGTAGAATGACACAACAAGCGGCCATTTTGTAATGTTCTGACTGTTCAACAACATCATTATGTGCTTATAAAATCGCCACGAAATGCAAATATAGAAGCCAATATTTAATCACAAGAGTGCAGGAAATGATCTTTTAGGGGTGAGGAGTTCTAAAATATTGGGAGCCCCCTGTGTAACTCAGTCATGTCCTCCAACATGAGTTTAGTTAGTTTGAAGAAGGGCAAGTAGCTTTTGAAAGGAGCAAGCCCTGATGGCTACGTTTAAATTTGTTGTTAAATCTGTGGAGAGAAAACATCAAATTCTAATATTTGACTGAATCTTATTCACAAAATATTCATAACCTCTTCTGTTGCAGAAATATGGCCGTAAAGCAGGTATGACAAAGGAAAGATAACTCTGCTTGTTTCCGAAATGAACTGCAGCAGCCTGTCGGAGGTGTCAAGTCTCCATGATGCTGCAGATAGTCCATCGGCTGACATCTCGAGGCTGCTCAACCCATCACTGTCTGATGATAAGGCAGACCAGATCACTTCGGATATTGGTTTGGACTTTGGTGAATCCTCCAAGTTTGACCCTGATTCAGTTTTAGGATCTTCCTATTCTCTGGTCAGAGAAGGTGACGACCCTGATGACCTTGAACTGTCAATTACACCAAATTTTGAGACGGGTCTGTCATGTAGCCCACCATCTTGTTTCGACAATGTATCCGTCTCATCGGCTTCAGCTATCTCAGCCAGTAATAGCTCCTTGCCGATTTCTGTCACTTCAGCCATCCCATCATTAACAGCTGCTTCAACAGGAGGCTCCAGCCATGGCCATGTCCCGGGGGTCCAGCTTCTCAGTCCATTGAACGCCGGACCGGTGGTGATAGGAAACATGACCGCACAGACACTGGTGTCTGCAGTGCTCAATGCCAAGAAGTCCGAGTCTTCACAGTCCGGAATGAACTCGGTATCTGTAACACCGGCCGCTGCAGGAATCTGGCTGCTGAATACTCCACCTATCAATATCAACCCAGACATTCTCAATCTAGTGAAGCCGGTCACACTTACTTCGTCTGTACAATCAATGGCTACTGCTTCTGTCCAGGACGTGGTTAAGATGGGTTCCACTGATATCTGCAAGAGTAGCGCGTGCTACACTGAAACTGTGACGGTACCGATGCCTTCGTCTTATTGCCAGACATCCCTGGGGAGTAGTTTGCTTGGTAAGGAACACTCAAACAAGGATGGAATACATTTTCCTTTTGGATCTTCAAATTCTTCCAAAGGCGTTGCCAATATGACAGAAGTGACTGAGGTCTCTAGTGCACTGCATGAAGGGACGCACATGGTGTTAAAGTCAGAAGACACACACGAAGCTAATCCTACCTCATTCCTTAGATTAGAAGACATTCTAATGAAAAACAACTGCTCAGGCTCAACAAACTTAATTCAAACAGAAATACCTCGGGTTGTCTCAGACAGTGATTTGGACAAAAGCTCAGTGAAACGAATGATTCTTTCAAAGTCTGAAGGTTCAGAATCCAATTCTTTTTCAGAGTTGTTCAGTTTTCAGGACTTGCCATCCAATGGAGGGGTGACCCAAACAAAACAGCTCTCAGACTGCCTCCCCCTGACCAACCTCATGACACTGGCACCTGATCAGCCAATACTCCAGTGCTCATCTTCTGAGGAGCTCCAGGAGATCGAGGACAGGGTGTCAGCTAAAGAAGCACAAAAGGAAAACAAGCCAAATGATGGTAAAGAAGTTGCAAGGACAGTTGAGGTGAGGAGACACTGTGCTCCTTCCACACTGATCATTGAGGGACTTCAGGAAGGGTCGAGGCTGGTCAAGGAGCTGCCGTCTCACAAAGTTCCAATTCTGCCTAAAGATACGGATGGCAAAGAGATAAAGGTGACTGTGCCCATGACGTGCGAGGAGAAATCAACACCAGTTTTAGTACATCTTATCCGTAATAGTGCTTTTTCCAGCAAAGATATCTTGTACTGTCAGAACATCACGACTACTCTGACGGAAGACCTGGGCCATGACATCACAGATGCTGACCTTGAGGACTCCGCAGACGACTTATTAGATGCGGAAGCTGTTGACATGGACGCAGAGAGGGCTGACAGGGAGAGTCATGGCACAGATGAACCTCCTCTTCAGTTGGCTGACATTGTTCCCCAAACTTCACCAACGAGGAAAAAGTATAAACGAGTTGTGGACAAGGACAAGGTCTTCAAGTGTGACTTGTGTAGTGCTCAGTTTGATGTGCTTGGGAATTATACGAGGCATCGGAAAATTCACAAGGTTAACAATGAGGTATGGTGATGTAATGATATGACTAGTTTGGTCCTTAGGAGATGTTGTTGTGTAGAATGTAACACTTAATTCAGCAACCCATTCTTGCAGTAAAAAGGTGACTGCTTGTCATAAGAGGCGACTAACGAGATTGGGTGGTCAGGCTCACTGATTTTGTTGATGCTAATGATATTAATCACTGAATTGTCTGGTTCAGACACGATTTACAGAAATACAGAAATATTGCTGAGTGAGGCGTTAAACAACAAACCAAAAAACTTAATTCATAGTCTTCTGTTTGTACCTCTACTTTGTGAATCGGGATATCATAGAATATTTCTCATAGGTTCAACGGGTTGACAGAAAGGTTAGTGTTATGGCCACATTGTTATTAATTTAGGTTTTATGTGTTAACCCTAAAAGTACAAATGTCATAGTTGTGAAATGTAAGCTAACAAAATGTGTCAGTTAAAGAGTTTATTTATTGCACAAATTTAAACTAAAATGATTGTTCACAATGCTGATTATACTTCACATACATAAGGGGCGGTCGGGTAGCCTAGTGGTTAAAGCGTTCGCTCGTCACACCGAAGACCTGGGTTCGATTCACTCACTCACTCACATACATATTGACAGGAATTGCGCGTCAGTGAACATAATGTTATCTATTGTTATGCATTTAGTGATGAAATACTATATTTCATTCAGGTGAAATAACATGTTATGCAACTTGAGTAAGATAATGAGAACTACTACTACTACTACTACCAACCTGATTTTCCTTCTCAGCTCCCTAGGGAGTATACTTTTACTCTACCTCAATGACACTATGGTAAAATCATGAAAATCATGCAATTAAATACATAATAATAAGAATATTTGAAAAGTCAAACATCCTATGTATTGATTCATTGTTTGATATAACAAGAGCACTGGAATGAATACTTAAGGCAGGAATTTATGTAATCCTGCTCATAGGCTGATAATTGTCCCCAAGTTTACAGAAAATGTCAGAAAAAAATCCCAAATTTGAAATGAATACTTCCCAATTCCTGTTGTGTTGTTATAACTAATATATATAAACTGGAGAACAATAGGATGACGTCACCGGAGGTTTATAAGTTATAACTAAAGCATGTAAAGTTGCTGCTTTGTAGAAGTGCACTGATCTCAGGACCGCCTCCGTGGTCTAGTGGTAGAGTGGAAGGTCTGGGTTTGATCCCCAGTTTGTTGTACCAAAAGATGGTACTTGTTGTTACCCTGTCTGGCACTCGGCATTATGGGCTAAAACACGGACTTGTTGGCTCGGAGTCATTATACTGTGTCTGAGTCAGGTATTCATGTTAAACTGCGACATGGGATATCAGTGGTCTACCAGTATAAATCGGCATCGGTCTGGACTAGTACAAGCAGCTACACACACATACACACACAAGTGCATGCACGTCGCTATATCCGTGCAATAATTTTGGACGCGATGTTAAATCCCATGTCACCTCACCTTTCTGATATAAGAAACAGAGGTTTCAATCCTTAGTTGTATATAATGCCGGTGTATAAAATTCCTCAAAATTGCAGTCAGACAACCGGACTGGCAACTTTGCATAGTTACCAAACCAGATAAAATGTTGCCAGTCCAGAATTTTGTAGACTTACGATCATAAGTAAGAAAAGGGTAAACGTAAGAATAGTACTGTTTAATGTTAGTTCTCAGAAAACACCGATAAACTGCCTGATTGTCAACTTAGTAACTCTAACTCATTGAATATTTTTCCATCAATAATGTGTTAAACATTTACTGTTAACTTAAGCTTCCTCTTACATTGAATTAAAACTAGAATGCTTAGGTATTTTAGGGTATACAACAATAGCCCGACCATCGGGTGTGCAACTTTTCATAACTGATCTCCATCAGCAAAATAGACCGTCTCAGATTGCTGGACAGGTAGGTATTTTAAACACTGCATTATGGGTAGGTATTTTAAACACTGCATTATGGGTAGGTATTTTAAACACTGCATTATGGGTAGGTATTTTAAGCACTGCTTCATGGGTAGGTATTTTAAACACTGCATTATGGGTAGGTATTTTAAACACTGCATTATGGGTAGGTATTTTAAACACTGCATTATGGTTAGGTATTTTTAACACTGCATTATGGGTAGGTATTTTAAACACTGCATTATGGGTAGGTATTTTAAACACTGCATTATGGGTAGGTTTTTTAAACACTGCATTATGGTTAGGTATTTTGAACACTGATAATGCACTGAATGCAGTGTTAAATAAATATCTCTAATTTTAAGATAATAAGAACTGTAAAGAAAATACCAATTACTTGTCAGAGGGACTTAGTTAGGAATCCTAGATACATCCCTGCAAGCACTATCTGTTTTGTTTCATGCTCCCAGAACAAGTACAAATGTCTGACCTGCGAGCGAAGCTTCATCCAGAGGTGTGACATGAAGAGACACATGCTCATCCACACCAAGCAGGAGCCTCACAAGTGTCAAGTGTGTGGCAAAGGTAAGGCTTGAGTCTAGTACTGAGCGCTGCAATTCGCTGTGCAGAGTTGCGTCCCTTGGGCACGCCAGAAACCTATGATGTGGGTTCTAATCCAGGTTTGCCCCAATTTGTTTCTAGGTTTGTCAGCACCATCCATACCTGTGCTGATGGGTTTCACCGAAGTGGTAAACGTCTGAGACCTGCATCACTTCGGGCTTTCCTCCCACATTAAGCTGACACGCCGTGATATAACTGGAATACTGTTAAAAGCGGCGTTAAACCCAACTCACTCACTCATTCTAGTACTGAGAAAATGTACAGGGGTACACTAAGTTTATTCCAGTGTTTCTGGTGGCAGTTTTATCTGCCATTCTTGTGGGTTGGTAGTAAACAAAAATACCGGTATTGGCTAAAATTTACTAGTCCCATGACAGCTGATAAGAGATCCATGTAAGACACGTTTTCAAACAGTCATATTGATAGTCAATTGTCGTGTTATAACGAAAGATGAAACATCATCAAAGCTGCCGACTTGGCAGTCCACACATGGAGTCATATTCATGGAATACTGTACACCTGTCGGAACAGTCTGTCATTCAGAATTGTCATTATGAAAAGGAAATATTTTAGAGAGTAAAATATTGTGAACTCTATAATTTGACAAGCATTCCTAGTTTGTGAATAGGTTCAAGGTGTCACTTACTCTTTGAGCTTTAATGCTGACCTGTAAGATAATGTCGAGACCTGTAAGATAATGTCGAGACCTGTAAGATAATGTCGAGACCTGTAAGATAATGTCGAGAACTGCTCCAAAACAAGGCTGCTCATTCATGGAACTGCACAAAAGTACCAAATCAATCAGGTGTTTGAAGACGGGTGACGTTTGAAACACAGTGATTTAATATTTACAGCGATTCACAGCATATGACATGCGTTCTTCAGCGATTCACAGCATATGACATGCGTTATACAGCGATTCACAGCATATGACATGCGTTCTACAGCGCTTCACAGTATATGACATGCGTTCTTCAGCGCTTCACAGCATATGACATGCGTTCTTCAGCGCTTCACAGCATATGACATGCATTCTTCAGCGCTTCACAGCATATGACATGCGTTCTTCAGCGCTTCACAGCATATGACATGCATTCTTCAGCGCTTCACAGCATATGACATGCGTTCTACAGCGATTCACAGCATATGGCATGCGTTCTACAGCGATTCACAGCATATGATATGCGTTCTACAGCGATTCACAGCATATGACATGCGTTCTACAGCGATTCACAGCATATGGCATGCGTTCTTCAGCGATTCACAGCATATGACATGCGTTCTACAGCGATTCACAGTGATTCACAGCATATGACATGCGTTCTTCAGCAATTCACAGCATATGACATGCGTTCTTCAGCGCTTCACAGCATATGACATGCGTTCTTCAGCGCTTCACAGCATATGACATGCGTTCTTCAGCGATTCACAGCATATGACATGCGTTCTTCAGCGCTTCACAGCATATGACATGCGTTCTACAGCGATTCACAGCATATGGCATGCGTTCTACAGCGATTCACAGCATATGATATGCGTTCTACAGCGATTCACAGCATATGACATGCGTTCTACAGCGATTCACAGCATATGGCATGCGTTCTTCAGCGATTCACAGCATATGACATGCGTTCTACAGCGATTCACAGTGATTCACAGCATATGACATGCGTTCTTCAGCAATTCACAGCATATGACATGCGTTCTTCAGCGATTCACAGCATATGACATGCGTTCTACAGCGATTCACAGCATATGACATGCGTTCTACAGCGATTCACAGCATATGACATGCGTTCTACAGCGATTCACAGCATATGGCATGCGTTCTTCAGCGATTCACAGCATATGACATGCATTCTTCAGCGATTCACAGCATATGACATGCGTTCTACAGCGATTCACAGCATATGACATGCGTTCTACAGCGATTCACAGCATATGACATGCGTTCTTCAGCGATTCACAGCATATGACATGCGTTCTTCAGCGATTCACAGCATATGACATGCGTTCTACAGCGATTCACAGCATATGACATGCATTCTACAGCGATTCACAGCATATGACATGCATTCTACAGAGGAAAGTTCTACCGGACTCTGGGACCGTCCACCTTCAGAGTTATCAGACACATTTAACCGGTCAATGTCTGGTATAAACCGGAGGACAGAAACACGGACATTCTTCCTGTGTGCTCTTTTAACAGAAGTCGTTGTACTGACACCACATCAAGTCTTCGATCATGCTGAAATCCTGCACGTTACCATGGTTTCAACACTAAGTCTTCTGTTTGTGCCATAACTTCGAGGCTTTGTCCCATATTCAACAGATTTTACTGCTGTCATAGTCTTTAGCTAAGCCAGCGTTAGAAATTGGCACTAGTCTTGTAGTCCTTGCCTAACTGCCCAATAGTTAAGGTATCATAAGCACCAGTAGAAATTTGCCCTATTTAAGGGTTTTGCTATTTGTTATCATTATAAGGACTAGTAGACAAAAACAGTTAGTTTCTATCGCTGTTAAACATGTTAAGATTTCTCAGCTGAAAGAAAATTATGGGATTCAGAGTTTGGGGTGAGTGAATAGATTGACCTCATGGAGGGAGTTTAATATGAGTCCTTGAAAAATGTTTTTGTGTCATGGTTTAAATAACAACATGGGTGGTTATATAATGCATGACAAATGCACTGTTTTGTTGCAACTGATTTCACTTCTAAATTAATATCTGTTTCCCCAGGCTATATTCGGAAGAGTGATTTGGTCGTGCACATGCGGTTCCACAGCAAGGATCGGCCCTTCAAGTGTACACAGTGCACTAAGGAGTACTACCAGTCAGGTGGGTGGATCAGGACTGTCCTGAGAGCAGCGTACACAGCCACACATCCCCATCCTCACCCTCACACACCCACACACTCTCACAACCTCACTCTGGCGCTCCCACCCTCACTCACGCTCCCACCCTCACCCCCACCCTCACACGTCAATACACTCTCACCCTCACTCTCTCACCCCCACCCTCACACGTCCACACACACTCTCACACCCCCATCCCCAACCTCACTCTCACCCCCACACCCCCACTCTCACATCCCCACCCTCACTCTCACCCCCACGTCCACACACACCCTCACCCTCACACGTCCACACACACTCTCACACCCCCACCCTCACACCCCCACCCACACTATCACGCCCCCACCTCCACCCTCACTCTCACCCTCACACCCCCACCCTCACTTTCACATGTCCACACACTCTGAACCACCTACCCAGTTCAGGGTGTGGCTCTCACCGACTCTCACTCCCTCACCCCCACTTGCACACCCTTGCTCTCACACCCCACCCACACACCCTTGATCTCATATCCCTCCCTCACTCTCAGGCCCCTCCCTCACTCTTACACCCCTCCCTTACTCTCACATCCCTCCCTCACTATTAAACCCCTCCCTCACTCTCACACCCCTCCCTCACTCTCCTCCCTCACTCTCACACCCCTCCCTTACTCTCACGTCCCTCCCTCACTCTCACACCTCTCCCTTACTCTCACGTCCCTCCCTCACTCTCACACCCCTCCCTTACTCTCACATCCCTCCCTCACTCTCACACCCCTCCCTCACTCTCACACCCCTCCCTCACTCTTACACACCTCCCTTACTCTCACACCCCTCCCTCACTCTCACACCCCTCCCTCCCTCTCACACCCCTCCCTTACTCTCACATCCCTCCCTCACTCTCACACCCCTCCCTTACTCTCACACCCCTCCCTCACTCTCACACCCCTCCCTAACTCTCACACCCCTCCCTTACTCTCACACCCCTCCCTTACTCTCACACCCCTCCCTCACTCTCACACCCCTCCCTCACTCTCACACCCCTCCCTCACTCTCACACCCCTCCTTTACTCTCACACCCCTCCCTCACTCTCACACCCCTCCCTCACTCTCACACCCCTCCCTCACTCTTACACACCTCCCTTACTCTCACACCCCTCCCTCACTCTCACACCCCTCCCTCCCTCTCACACCCCTCCCTCGCTCTCACATCCCTCCCTCACTCTCACATCCCTCCCTCACTATTAAACCCCTCCCTCACTCTCACACCCCTCCCTTACTCTCACACCCCTCCCTCACTCTCACACCCCTCCCTCACTCTCACACCCCTCCTTCACTCTCACACCCCTCCCTTACTCTCACACCCCTCCCTCACTCTCACACCCCTCCCTCACTCTCACACCCCTCCTTCACTCTCACACCCCTCCCTCACTCTCACACCCCTCCCTCACTCTCACACCCCTCCTTCACTCTCACACCCCTCCCTTACTCTCACACCCCTCCTTCACTCTCACACCCCTCCCTCACTCTCACACCCCTCCTTCACTCTCACACCCCTCCCTAGACCGTCCTTACAACCCTATCCCCATCTCAAAGCTCCAGTTGAGTGAGACCTGTTATCTGCACAAACAAGAGCCTCCTGCCCCACCTAACACTGAGTTATGGCCCAACAGCTGTTGGATGTATGTTATGCTTGTTAGAATTGAATGGAGTTGTACACCAGTGAATTTTTGTTTTTTTTATGAACCATTTTTTATGAATATTTGCATCCTGCTGTTGTTGGCCCAGAAGCTGAATTCTTTGGGAGTTATTCAAATAACAAACAATTAACAAAGAGGGAGGGTCACAAGCAGAGAGCTTTAAACAGAACCTTGGTCATCACTGACATTGTTTATGGAGCATGTAATGTCCAACATATCTTCAGTTAGGCCACACGAATACATTTTATCAGTTTCAGGAACAACAACAAACTTCATTTTAACTCCCATGTTCAATATGTGTCAACTTCAGTTAAGAAAATCAATTTTTGTGTGCAATTTTCTATCAGCATATTGGCAGGATAAAAGATGCAAATCCTGAATTTAGTCTGACTTTATCTCAACAAATGTTACAAACGATGGATCCATAAGGCAGGTAATATAAAAGTGGCCTTTTGGGAATTGGACAATCTGATGCAGCAGTCAGCAACAGTCTGGTCAGGGTCGGGTGAGCTGCCTGCATCATCAGTGAATGACCCATGGGGGATGGTGACACAGTCATCCAGGTCACGGAGTGTAACCACCACAGCAGTCGGGTCTTACTACAAGCTTGGGGACTGGAAGCGTGTTATCATACAGTCACATCTTCTGTTGTAGGTGATTTGAAGTGGCACATTCGTGCAGCACACAGCCAAGAGAGCATGTTATCATATAGTCACGTCTTCTGTTGTAGGGGATTTGAAGTGGCACATTCGTGCGGCACACAGCCAAGAGAGCATGTTATCATATAGTCACGTCTTCTGTTGTACTTGTAGGGGATTTGAAGCGGCACATTCGTTTAGCACACAGCCAAGAGAGCATGTTATCATACAGTCACGTCTTCTGTTGTACTTGTAGGGGATTTGAAGCGGCACATTCGTGCAGCACACAGCCAAGAGAGCATGTTATCATACAGTCACGTCTTCTGTTGTACTTGTAGGGGATTTGAAGCGGCACATTCGTTTAGCACACAGCCAAGAGAGCATGTTATCATACAGTCACGTCTTCTGTTGTAGGGGATTTGAAGCAGCACATTCGTGCAGCACACAGCCAAGAGAGCATGTTATCATACAGTCACGTCTTCTGTTGTAGGGGATTTGAAGCAGCACATTCGTGCAGCACACAGCCAAGAGAGCATGTTATCATACAGTCACGTCTTCTGTTGTAGGGGATTTGAAGCGGCACATTCGTTTAGCACACAGTCAAGAGAGCATGTTATACAGTCACGTCTTCTGTTGTAGGGGATTTGAAGCAGCACATTCGTGCAGCACACAGCCAAGAGAGCATGTTATCATAGAGTCACGTCTTCTGTTGTAGGGGATTTGAAGCGGCACATTCGTGCAGCACACAGTCAAGAGAGCATGTTATCATACAGTCACGTCTTCTGTTGTAGGGGATTTGAAGCGGCACATTCGTTTAGCACACAGCCAAGAGAGCATGTTATCATACAGTCACGTCTTCTGTTGTACTTGTAGGGGATTTGAAGCGGCACATTCGTGCAGCACACAGCCAAGAGAGCATGTTATCATACAGTCACGTCTTCTGTTGTACTTGTAGGGGATTTGAAGCGGCACATTCGTGCAGCACACAGCCAAGAGAGCATGTTATCATACAGTCACGTCTTCTGTTGTACTTGTAGGGGATTTGAAGCGGCACATTCGTGCAGCACACAGCCAAGAGAGCATGTTATCATACAGTCACGTCTTCTGTTGTACTTGTAGGGGATTTGAAGCGGCGCATTCGTTTAGCACACAGCCAAGAGAGCATGTTATCATACAGTCACGTCTTCTGTTGTACTTGTAGGGGATTTGAAGCGGCACATTCGTGCAGCACACAGCCAAGAGAGCATGTTATCATACAGTCACGTCTTCTGTTGTACTTGTAGGGGATTTGAAGCGGCACATTCGTGCAGCACACAGCCAAGAGAGCATGTTATCATACAGTCACGTCTTCTGTTGTACTTGTAGGGGATTTGAAGCGGCGCATTCGTTTAGCACACAGCCAAGAGAGCATGTTATCATACAGTCACGTCTTCTGTTGTACTTGTAGGGGATTTGAAGCGGCACATTCGTGCAGCACACAGCCAAGAGAGCATGTTATCATACAGTCACGTCTTCTGTTGTACTTGTAGGGGATTTGAAGCGGCACATTCGTGCAGCACACAGCCAAGAGAGCATGTTATCATACAGTCACGTCTTCTGTTGTAGGGGATTCGAAACGGCACATTCGTGCAGCACACAGCCAAGAGAGCATGTTATCATAGAGTCACGTCTTCTGTTGTAGGGGATTTAAAGCGTCACATTCGTGCAGCACACAGCCAAGAGAGCATGTTATCATACAGTCACGTCTTCTGTTGTAGGGGATTTGAAGCGGCACAGTCGTGCAGCACACAGCCAAGAGAGCATGTTATCATACAGTCACGTCTTCTGTTGTAGGGGATTTGAAGCGGCACATTCGTGCAGCACACAGCCAAGAGAGCATGTTATCATACAGTCACGTCTTCTGTTGTAGGGGATTTGAAGCGGCACATTCGTGCAGCACACAGCCAAGAGAGCATGTTATCGTGCGGTCACTGCCGCCGACAGTATGCGAAGGAGTCGACATTGATCCGCCATATGCAGACTCAGCACAAAGACATCATCCTCAAGTCACTCAACCAGAAACTGGCAGATGAGAAGTAAGAATTTGTTGCATTTTCCTTGAGAACTAGACTGCTCCACTTCCAATCACAAGTTCTAAGTAATGTCTGTGGAAACTGTGACTAGGGCTGCCTGTCTACAGTATACAAATAATACAATGTGTTCAAGATAAAGCCGCCTTAGTTTTGTCCTCTGCAATAAGTATAAAATGTGTCCAAGAGGCTGATTTTAGAGGTTTCATGCAGTGGCCTAATATTTGAACATGAGAAAGTCTTTGAACCCAGCTCATTGTCATGCATGTACATTACAAACATCTGGTAAAACATTCATTTTCGGTTACCGATTTACATATTTTTAGATTTTCATTTGAAGGTAATGCTTTTGCCGGCTGTTTGTGCCGATTTTACTGCTGCTTCATATAATAAGACTTTTCCATTGCATTGAAAATATGATATTCTTATTTCCTCACACCTTTTAGCTTCTCTTTTTAATGGAATGTCGATGCATGTTGGAAATTAAGGGAAATATGTAATGTGCTTGTATTTTAAATTTTATTAACATGATTAATAAAATGGCATAAAAACACATAGAAAGTGTGTTTTCATATAGGTAAACTTTATTTCCATATGTGGATAAATTACTTGTAAAAGTTATATGCTATTGTACTTCTATGCAAAATGTTGTGTATGGTTCCCTGTATGCCCTCATAGTAAAGTGTGACTTAGGTGTGATTGGTAACAAGTAGGACTGCACAGTACGCTTTTCAAATGATGTATACTATGCAAAAATAGTAGGAGATATTTAGTTTTAAGGTGAAAAGACAAGCAAATACACCAATGTCTGGCAATGAAAGTAAATGATTTATGTGGCACGAACATTTCTGAAGCTCCTACACACAACATAATGACAGTCATAAAGTTTGTGACCTCGGACAGCACGTGCAATGGGCGGTATCCTTGATTTACCATTGTCACTCAGACACGGTTGAGAGCAGATGCGTATTGTTTTCATGGAACCAACCGCTCAAAGACACGTTATTAAAGACATTTAATCATTAGGGAAGCAACAGCATAGATCATGCGATGTTTTCAACGTGCTGAACGTTTCCTTGCCATAGGCATGTTGCAGACGGGCACACGTCAGAATATTGTTGCCCAAAACGCTGCATGTTTCTCAATCTGTCATCAGCAGATTGTTGGCCCCATAACAACAAACGCATAATGTCGACGATTGATGTCGCTCTGGACGTCCAAGGGCAACAACTCCTGGACAGATTAGTCCGAACCATGGCACTCAGATAAGGGACCGGTTGCCAGAGGCAACTGGTGTCAGAGTAGATGCCCAGATGGTGAGATATCGTCCGCCCAGATGGTGAGATATCGTCTGCACAGATGGTGAGATATCGTCTGCACAGATGGTGAGATATCGTCTGCACAGATGGTGAGATATCGTCCGCACAGAACAGATGGTGAGATATCGTCCGCACAGATGGTGAGATATCGTCTGCACAGATGGTGAGATATCGTCTGCACAGATGGTGAGATATCGTCTGCACAGATGGTGAGATATCGTCTGCACAGATGGTGAGATATCGTCCGCACAGAACAGATGGTGAGATATCGTCCGCACAGATGGTGAGATATCGTCTGCACAGATGGTGAGATATCGTCTGCACAGATGGTGAGATATCGTCCGCACAGAACAGATGGTGAAATATCGTCCGCACAGATGGTGAGATATCGTCTGCACAGATGGTGAGATATCGTCTGCACAGATGGTGAGATATCATCTGCACAGATGGTGAGATATCGTCTGCACAGATGGTGAGATATCGTCTGCACAGATGGTGAGATATCGTCCGCACAGAACAGATGGTGAGATATCGTCTGCAAAGATGGTGAGATATCGTCTGCACAGATGGTGAGATATCGTCTGCACAGATGGTGAGATATCGTCTGCACAGATGGCTTTTGTGTGCATGACGTCCACGTGTCATCCCACAACTTGCTGCGAGTCATTTGAAGGTGTCAGTGGCAGCAGTGAAGAAGGGATCGTCCGATGAAAGACATTTTAATGTCATGTTTTCTGACGAATCGAGGTTCCCTCTCAACTTTCATATCCAAAGGAATAAAGATTAGAGACGTCCTAATGGGCATTTTATGGACGTTAACGCTGTGCAGCACAGTCAGTTTGGGGGTGGGTCCCTAATGGTATGGGGTGGTATCACAATGACTGGCCGGACTGCGCTCCATATTGTCCATGTCATAGTCACAGGTCAATACTACCGGGACAACATCATTGCACCACTTGTGGTGATATTTGCACAATGTGTAGGGAAACGTATCATCTTTCAAGATGATAATGCATGTGCTCATTGTGCCAGAATTGTGACCCAATTTCTCCAACAGCAAAACATCCATGTCATGCCATGGCCAGCACTCAGTCCTGACCTTCCCTCCACTGAACACGTCTGGACATCAATGGCACATCGTACGTCAACATCAAAGTCCATCCACCACTCTCAATGATCTCGGTGTTGCCCTGACCTTCCCTCCACTGAACACGTCTGGACATCAATGGCACATCGTACGTCAACATCAAAGTCCATCCACCACTCTCAATGATCTCAGTGTTGTCCTGACCTTCCCTCCACTGAACACGTCTGGACATCAATGGCACGTCGTACGTCAACATCAAAGTCCATCCACCACTCTCAATGATCTCGGTGTTGTCCTGACCTTCCCTCCATTGAACACGTCTGGACATCAATGGCACGTCGTACGTCAGCATCAAAGTCCATCCACCACTCTCAATGATCTCGGTTTTGTCCTGACTGATGAGTGGAACAACAGGAGTCAAGCTGACATTGGTCGACTCATCAGAAGTACGCCTTGAAGAATTCATGCATCTCTGGCCAATAGAGGTGTTTTTTACCTGATATTGATGAAGTCTGCAAAATCCATTTTTGGCCATGACCTCTTTAACGCCAAGGGTTGCCACCATCCCATCAGTCCAGCCATTAGAACCCAGTATGTCTGATGGCCGGCTCCCCAGAAGATATGATCGTAACATTTCATTTGCCAGTACCATATGGATCAGAAGATTTGTCTCCATGATTCCAACTGATTCCCCCTACTTTTTTGGCACAGTATATATTGCAGTAGTTTTTCTGTTATCCGGTATATTGAGTGAGAAAATAAAACAATTTTTGTTATTATTTACATCATTCAACCTAAAATCAACCCAGAAATTCCTTCACAGTTGATGTTTCCCTTCGCATTCTTTTTACAAAACGCCCGAAACATGTAAGTGATTTATCTCACATTGTTATCTCCCCTGTATCCATGACTACAAAATGACCGCAAATGACTATGCTGAGTATTATTTATTTCAGTATGTAAGAAACAGGCTCTGCATGTACAATCAGTGTTAATCACTGTCCAACACTTCAGTTCTCAACATGTTGCAATACATATCACAGTAAAGAAACCAACATCGCAATATTTTGCATAAATGTTTTTGGCCAATACACAGCCCTGTGAACAAGTGGGTCTAGCACACTAACCCTCTTCCCTTTTTCATTAGGACAGTTAGGTATTTCTAAAATCTTTATATAATCTATCTTGAGAAAATGTTAAATCCTCTTTTGCCAGACCAGCAGACATCCTGCAGCAGTGGAGAGATCCTGTTGATGTAATAAAGGAATCGTGTCTTCTACTTTCAGGAATAAAGATGACCGTCCCATGGAGCAGGAGGAGTCCATGGAGACCAGCAGCTGATGAAGCCTTGTCACGCCCTGCCTAGAGTGTTGCTGGTGACTGAGACACATCAGCCCTTGCCTGGAGTGTTGCTGGTGACTGAGACACATCACTCCTTGCCTGGAGTGTTGCTGGTGACTGAGACACATCACTCCTTGCCTGGAGTGTTGCTGGTGACTGAGACACCCCTTGTCTGGAGTGTTGCTGGTGACTGAGACACATCAGCCCTTGTCTGGAGTGTTGCTGGTGACTGAGACACATCACTCCTTGTCTGGAGTGTTGCTGGTGACTGAGACACCCCTTGCCTGGAGTGTTGCTGGTGACTGAGACACATCACTCCTTGCCTGGAGTGTTGCTGGTGACTGAGACACCCCTTGCCTGGAGTGTTGCTGGTGACTGAGACACCCCTTGCCTGGAGTGTTGCTGGTGACTGAGACACCCCTTGTCTGGAGTGTTGCTGGTGACTGAGACACCCCTTGTCTGGAGTGTTGCTGGTGACTGAGACACCCCTTGCCTGGAGTGTTGCTGGTGACTGAGACACATCAGCCCTTGTCTGGAGTGTTGCTGGTGACTGAGACACCCCTTGCCTGGAATGTTGCTGGTGACTGAGACACCCCTTGCCTGGAGTGTTGCTGGTGTGAGACACATCTCCCCTTGCCTGGAGTGTTGCTGGTGACTGAGACACCCCTTGTCTGGAGTGTTGCTGGTGACTGAGACACCCCTTGCCTGGAGTGTTGCTGGTGACTGAGACACATCAGCCCTTGTCTGGAGTGTTGCTGGTGACTGAGACACCCCTTGCCTGGAATGTTGCTGGTGACTGAGACACCCCTTGCCTGGAGTGTTGCTGGTGTGAGACACATCTCCCCTTGCCTGGAGTGTTGCTGGTGACTGAGACACCCCTTGTCTGGAGTGTTGCTGGTGACTGAGACACCCCTTGCCTGGAGAGTTGCTGGTGACTCAGACACATCACCCCTTGTCTGGAGTGTTGCTGGTGACTGAGACACCCCTTGCCTGGAGTGATGCTGGTGACTGAGACACCCCTTGCCTGGAGTGTTGCTGGTGACTGAGACACCCCTTGTCTGGAGTGATGCTGGTGACTGAGACACCCCTTGTCTGGAGTGTTGCTGGTGACTGAGACACCCCTTGCCTTGAGTGATGCTGGTGACTGAGACACCCCTTGTCTGGAGTGTTGCTGGTGACTGAGACACCCCTTGTCTGGAGTGTTGCTGGTGACTGAGACACCCCTTGTCTGGAGTGTTGCTGGTGACTGAGACACCCCTTGCCTGGAGTGATGCTGGTGACTGAGACACCCCTTGCCTGGAGTGTTGCTGGTGACTGAGACACCCCTTGTCTGGAGTGATGCTGGTGACTGAGACACCCCTTGTCTGGAGTGTTGCTGGTGACTGAGACACCCCTTGCCTGGAGTGATGCTGGTGACTGAGACACCCCTTGTCTGGAGTGTTGCTGGTGACTGAGACACCCCTTGTCTGGAGTGTTGCTGGTGACTGAGACACCCCTTGCCTGGAGTGATGCTGGTGACTGAGACACCCCTTGCCTGGAGTGTTGCTGGTGACTGAGACACCCCTTGCCTGGAGTGTTGCTGGTGACTGAGACACCCCTTGTCTGGAGTGTTGCTGGTGACTGAGACACCCCTTGCCTGGAGTGTTGCTGGTGACTGAGACACCCCTTGCCTGGAGTGTTGCTGGCTGCTAAATGTGTACATTGCACAAGTCCAACATGTTAACATTACAGATGACATCTAAAATGGAATTATTGTGATAACAATAAACTGTACAAATGCTTGAACTTAGTCAAGATGTAAGAATTTGGGGGTATAATTTTCAGAAGGTATCTCACTAGAAAATTGTCACCAACTTTCCAGAAACGTTTGCAAACATTTCCAAATTATTTACACAAGGAGGTAGGGCTTCCTGAAATGTTTGTTTCCTCAACAGTTGAAATCTGTTTATTTAGAAGCACATTTATTTTGATCTATTTTATGATGTAATGTGGGCCTTGAGTGCTGATTTGAGATGTTGATGTCAGTCCTTAATGCATTGTTTACTTGCTCATAGCTTTGTGATATGGCTTTATTCACAGTTTGTCCAAACGTGGATCATCCTCTATTATCAAGGGTATTATATCTCCATTCAGTTATAAGTTCCCTGGACGCGTTCTCAACAATAGCTTCCTTTAGGAAGTGACTTAGCACAGATTTTTTCTCACTGATGACTAATTTGATTGGATGGCTACTTATAGCATCGGTTATTTTGAATCAGGATTCAAAACGAGGCTTAAGGTGACGAATGGATGAAGGTGTTTCATTGTACAATGTTTGAAATAGACATCAGCCCAAGGGCCTGAGGCTGACAGAGTTGTGCTCAGGCTGATTTTCATTTTCAGTAGGCCCTTTCGGCCTGCAGTCTATTTAAATAATTATTTATTAAGCAATATTTAAGGAATGTGATAACATAACTATCCTATTTATAAACAGTGGGATTAGACCTTTCAAATGGTGAATGACATATAGTCACAAAGATGTTTTACAAGCTGATAATTTCCTGATAAATGTAGGCTTCATTTATCACCACCAAGTCTCTGGGATCTCGGGGTGATAGCAGTAGAAGTTTCTGGTTGACTGGCTGTGTTTTGTAATGTATATTGCAAGAGTATGTCTCCATGCTTCAGCTAAAGCGTTTGGGGCTACAGTTTTTGAAATGTGCTGGCCCTTAATTAAGGCTTTCAGTTTACTCTGCTGAGTTTCAGACACTTATTGTAACAGAATGGAGATGTGATACACTGGAATAGCGAGGATGGATGTGGACGTGGATGTGGATCATTCATGTTGGTCATGCCATTGAAGGTCTTTCTTCTGTGTACCAACACGCTCAGAGTGAATGTGATGTTTGTGTAACTGTCTGTAAGTGTGTGCAGCCGCATGAGAGGGAGTTTATACCAACCTGTGTCCAGGAAGTCTAAAGCTGTGTCGAATGCTTCTCTGAGTCACAACAGAAGTTGCTTGTGTTCAGAGACACTTCTTGTTAAAACACTGACACCAAAGGTTGATGTGTACTGTTTTTGTTATGTTTGGTAAAGTTAATGGAGTGTGTAAAAAGCGAGGATTCTGTTTTTTTTTATTTTGCAGTTTTATCATTACTTGTGTTTATGAAAAGTTCGGTGTTTCTGGTTGTCCGCAATGTTTATGAAGCTGCGTCAGCCAAGACAGCCACTCAGCAGCTGCCACCTCACCTACCTCGTTTGGTTTGTCAATTTTCAGGAAAAAACATCAAATCAAATAATCACACCCCTACTTGGGAAATTTGTAGATTTTTCTTCTAGATCGGGATGGTTAATGTTCAAGTGGGTGATTAGTTGCATATCAAAACAATATATAAAATGGCTGAGAGATAAATTGAAAACAACAATAAAGAATGAAGCATGGTTTATTTATGATAAATCATTTCTTGAGATTCGCATTTAACTCACGCTCGTGTTAATTTCAAGATTTACAGTATGCACTTGCAACCTGATGTCATATATTTGACGACTTGATGTTTGAGAGGGAGGTGTCAAGTTTCCCTTAGATGGAGCTGGACTACAAATGCAGTTGCCGAGCGATCGCATCCAAAATTGGGCGGAATTTGACAATCAGTATTAGGAGAAAAGGTACAGATAATCGACGTGAGGATTGTGAGAATATGCGGGAAATACCAAACTTAACCCACCTGTTCGTAAAATGGACTTGTTGGACATTTCCGAGGTCAGATTCTAGGGAGTCATTCTTATTAATATTTGGGTGAATATTTTTAAAGCTCGCCCATTTTATCAACATCCTTAAAGAGGCTGTACATAATGTTGTTATCTCATAAGAAATAAACAACTAATGGTCGTTTATTGTACAAAAAACACTGCAGGGAGACAGAACTACTCAGGGCTGTGCCCTCATCGTTAACTCTCCCTGCAGTGTTGTATTGTTTGATAAACCACTCCTACTGGGTAGTTTTTATCTTAAATAAAAATGTTTTTCAGTGGGACAGTTGTTAAGGACTGGTGTGAGAAACACAAATAAATGCAGATGGCGTTAAATGGGGATATGTGCTGATACTTATTGATTACTGCACAAGAGTGTATCATACTTTGTTTCCATTATTACACGAGACAGCAGGTATATACAGCAGGTATATACAGCAGGTATATGTTGTACAATAAAGGGACAGGTGTGGTGATGTTTACATGTGTGTATCCTCCTGCTGGGGATATGTAAAGGTATTTAGAGAATCACTAACAAACTACGAGAAATTGCTTGAAGGAAGATCTGTATGGGTAATTCCTTGAATTCGTATGTCTATCTTAGGGACAGGTCATTTAGTATTCTGGGTGAGGGTGTGGGGTTTGTGTTTGAGAAAGACTATATTTCCAATCAGCACTTCAATGCATACAATTAGATTTAGGAAATGAGGAGCCAGACAATTGTTTGGAACCACGACACATTATTTTTTCGAACACCCAGCATGTCCAGTGAAAGGTTGATTTCTGTCCGTAAAAACCTGAAGACAAATAATATTTTGTGCAGTTTTTTCGGGAACAGAATGTGTTTCTAAAACAACCCGGGCCTCCCTACCCCAGAATATCAGTTAACTGACATACACCATGTGGACCAAGAATGAGATGCATTTTTCTTTTCGCAATGAAGCAAAACCATAAACCACGGCTCGCTCCCCTCGTCTCAGACAAAATGTTCGACCTCTCTACATTGCACATGCTAAGGTCATTATGAACAATAACAATCCTCCAGGACAATGACTATGACTCTGCCTAGTGTAATAATGTTAGTTATATCCCAAGAAAATTCTGTGATGGCTGATATATTAATGTTACATCTTGTATGAAATGAAGATCTGTACTATATTGTTGTGAAATACCTCATCTCAAACTACTGAGAACCGACTACAGTGACAATGACATACCTGGTGATATGTATTGTGTTATGTGAACTTCACCTTTGGTTACAGTGTTGATTGATTGAAGCCACAGGTGGGATTCTCCTTCATTACTGGTGATATTGTTTCTGTAAGTGTGTTGAAGGATGTCTATTTACTGTTATACCTGGCTAGACAGGTGTAGGTGTACATGTGTCTAGTGTTATACCTGGCTAGAAAGGTGTATGTGATGATTAACATGTGTCCACTGTTTGTACCTGGCTAGACAGGTGTAGGTGTGTCTCTTTGTTATACCTGGCTAGACAGGCGTGGTGTCTACTGTTTGTACCTGGCTAGACAGGTGTAGGTGTGTCTCTTTGTTATACCTGGCTAGACAGGTGCATGTGTCTACTGTTTGTACCTGGCTAGACAGGTGTAGGTGTGTCTCTTTGTTATACCTGGCTAGACAGGCGTGGTGTCTACTGTTTGTACCTGGCTAGATAGGTGTAGGTATACACATTGTAATAATTGTTATGGCTCCTTTGAAACTTTGTCAATAAATCTGTACAAATAAATATGTTTTTCTACATCTACTTCATTTGTTATTGTTTACAAGACATGATGCATTACAAAAAAATTCATTTTGCACTCATTTAGATCTAATGTTGTTATACTCACCCCAGATAAGCTGCATATTTGCATAAAATATGCAAAATATATCACCAATAGCCAAAAAATAAATCACCGAGAGATAGTTATTTCTGCCTCTGCACAAACCAACAGTGCAATAACACTCTGCATAATTACCCAATATATATTTTTCAACTTGTTAAACTGTTTTTTTTGCATATCTATATTTACTGATTGAATGCAAGCATTGGCACATCAAAGACCTCAACTGCCGTGCAGAATGCTAATAGAAGTGCACGGTCTTGCTCAGTGTGTGGTAGCAGAGACCATATAATAGATCTATTATATGGTCCCTGGTGGTAGCCCTGTATATTGCTGTTGAGTGTATACAACAAAAATGTTACACACTTGGTAAAACACGAAGAGATACGAATTAGAAGTCGCCTTAACAGCATTTTCAGCAGAATTATTTAAAAAAAATAAATAAATACTCAATGGCTGAAAACAGCTGGAGCATCTACTTGTAATCAACATAATAATACTTTGTATAGCACTAAGTCCACACCACCAGCATACAGTTAATAGTTAAGTCAACAAATCAGGGAACACTCAGTTTTAGGATGTATCTGAGGAGTGAAGTCAGATGCTGGTAGGTTTTTACCACTGGACCACCGGAGATTCACATGGTAATTAAGTAGTAAATAGGGATGCTATTTCTACAAAGATTCCAAAGAGTCCTACGACTCTTGCTCCAAAGTTGTTTGATCAGGGTTAAAACATTCAGGGCCTAGTCGTCTGAGGCGCCGCGATTCGCTTTGCAGAGTTGCGTCCCTTGGGCACGCCCGTGGCCGTTGGTTTCGCCGAAGTGGTAAACGTCTGAGACCTGCATCACTTCGGGCTTTCCTCCCACATTAAGCCGACACGCCGCGATATAACTGGAATACTGTTAAGAGCGGCGTTAAACCTTTCGAAGGTTTTGCTTGGAGGAGCTTCCGTTTCGGCCGCCTGAGGTTTGGCATGGCTGTAGAATGAGCTTTCACTTTCTGGGGGTTTCCGACGTTCTTACTCAGTCACGATGGGCTCTTCCGGTCGTATGACAAACGTATGGATTTCGTGTCCAGGCGTATCAGAGTCGTATGAAAGGCGTATCGGAGTCGTATGAAAGGCGTATGAA